TTGCAGAGGTTTCTTCCGTTGTGTGCTGTCTTCTTGCTTTCTCTTTCTCGATGGTGTCCTTTGAAGCACAAATGTTCTGATGCTGCTGAATTCCCCCTTTGCTATTTCATCTTTGGTTCCTTGTGCTTTGGTATCATCTAAGCCGCTCACTGGGGGTGGGGCTCACACCGTTGGAGCCCTCATGGTTCCTCCAGACGCTTCACCTTCAGGTTTTCTCTGAGATGGTTTGAGGAAGCAGCTTATCGTAGGGGAGCTGCACAGAAACAGTCTCGGCCTTAGGGAGCCGGGAGCCGGGAGGGCCCTCCCCTGGCCGCCCTCACCCCGAGAGCCCGGTGAGGACGTGAGGAGCAGGGGGGAGGTTTGGCTTGTGTCCTTTCAAGGACCCGCTTTCCAGCCGTGTGGAAAATGAGCTCATAACGGTGGCAGCGCAGGTCCAGCAGCCCCTGACGCCGAGGCCGGGCTGCGCTCGGCCGCCTTCGTCCTGACCGGTGGCCCGTGGGCGGGGCCTCGCCGCTGCGGCTCTCTCGGTCTCCTGGGCGTTCGGGTGATCCTGCTGCTTCCCCCGCACTGGCCTGGGGGGAGGTGCCGCGGGCTCTGGACCATCGTCACAGCTTCCTGGAGCAGTTGGTGTTGCAGGTTGGCGGCCAGTGGTCTCGCCCCTCCGCCTCTGCCTTCTGCACGGGACCCGGCAGCAGTCACTCTCCCCACGCCCACCCGGTCCTCCCGGCGCTTCCCAAAGCCCTTCCCTGAAGTGAGAGCCGCCTTGGACGGTGGGTGAGGCGCTCTCGCGGCCCCTAGCACAGCCTGCCCGGGCCTTTGCTGCAGAATCTGTCGGACTGTGAGCTGGCAAAGGGGAGCCGCTGCCTGCAGGCCGGCTCTGAGGCTGGCTGCTCTCCCAGCACACTCGCCACCGCCTGGTGAAGAGGTGGAGGGGATGGGGGTGGGGAGGGGATGATATAGGGGGTGCAGGCAGGTATGTTGCACAGCAGGGCACGTGCCTCTGGAGGACACCCCCAGCTCTGTGCGAGCTTCCCGCTCAACCTGGAAGGTGTGCGCTCACAGCCGAGAGGTGGGGACGTGGCCCCTCGTGTTGATCTGTGGAGGCTGCTCGCTGCCTCCGGGGAGAGGTTGGCGCTCTTCCTGTATCTGCTGGCTGGGCTGGGTCAACCCGGGCTCCGGGGGGCAGGGGGTGACACCGAGGCTGATGTCCTTCTAACAAGTTGACGACCAGGGTCTGGCGGCTGGACAGTGCGTGTCGCCTCCTGGCCGAGCGCAGTGCCTGGCCGGACCCTCATCTGGGCCTGGTCCCCGAGGTGGCAGAACTCCCGCCCCCAGCAAAGAGTTGGGGGAGCCAAGTGTCGTTTCCTCCGTGGGGCAGGTCTTCCGTCCAGGCCGTGCTCCTTGGCCAGCGGCGCAGGTCTCACTGGGTGGACGCACCCACCTGGCCCCCCAGCCACATTGTCTAGTGCTGTTGGGCCAGAGGGCGTGTGAGGACCAGCCGCCCTCAGCCCTGCAGAGCGCCCAGGGCAGCGGGCATCCTGGCCTTAGGCCCCGAGGCCAGAGAGGGGACGCCTCTGTGCTGCGAGAAAACAGACCGATCCAGCCCGGGGAGGGGGGTGGTTACCGCTCTCCTCTGGCTGCCAGTGCGCGGCCTGCACAGCTGAGCTTCGCATGTGCACGACCCTGAGCAGGTGCGTGTGCCCCCTGGGGGGTGCAGGGAGGCCCCTCATCCTGACGACCCGGGGCGCCCTGGACAGACGCCTGCCTCCATGCAGGTGGCGGATCTCAGGGCAGCGTGGCGCCCGTCTGGGCGGGTGGAGCCCTGTCACCTGCACATCCCACAAGGGCTCACGGATGCAGTCGTGGACCTGAGCAGGGAGGTGACTGAGTGGCCGCTTGCTCCAGCCGGGCAGCCGCCTGGGTGGCACGCACTCCCACGTGCTCCATGCTGGGCCCAGCCCGGGCAGCCCCACTGCGCCGTGTTCAGGCGGCATCTCCCTCAGCCCTGCCTGCGTGTCTGTGTTCGAGGCCTGAGTCTGAGCCTTCCTCTCTGAGCCCCGGGCCCTTTGGGGCTGGTCCTGCCCTTGCTGCTGGGCTTCTCTTGCTGTGTTCCTTGCAGGTTAGCGCTGGGCGGCTCTGTGCCCTGCTGGCCCCCGGCTCTGCATTGCGGTTAGTGGGATCCGCCCTTCTGTACTGCTAGGGTCGCCCCAGAGCTGGGAACGTGGGGGGTGGTATGCCCCAGCGCTCTGTGTGTGCGGACGTCACGCCGTGCGCTCAGGCCTGAGCCCGGTGCCACGAGCTGCATCTGGAACGTTCTTTCTCCTTTCTTTCCTCCCCCACGTACGTTTTCGCTTTCTGTTTTAAGATGTCCAAGGTGTAGGGCATAAGAAACGGAGCGCGGCGCGGCAGGGCAGGCCCATGGGGTGGGGACTGCCAGCATCCGGGGGCTCCTGAGGTCCCCAGATCTGCAGGCCAGGGCCCAGCGTCCAGGCCCTCGTGCTGCCAGACCCTGGGGCTCTCAGTGCAGCACTGGGGGTGGGGACTCAGAAACCCAGGGTGAGCTTCGTCTTCGATGGTCCAAAGCCCTCCTTCCGCCCCTTCCCCACCTCTGGGCCTTAGCACAGGGTGTAGGCTGCTCCGCAGTGGGTCCAGGGCCTGCTGCCTGCAGGGAGGAGCCCCCCAGGTTTGCCTGGCTGGGCTGGCCTGCAGGGCCTTTGGGGCTCAGGCACTAAGTATGGCCCTTGGGAGCACGAGGTGGGGACGCTGGAAGCCCCCCCCCCCGGCCCGGTCTGCCTGCTGCTGTTGCACTGGTCTCTGGCGGTGGCCACAGTCCCAGCAGCCGTCCAGACTCCACTCCACCCATATCCAGCGGGCCCCACGGTTTGGTGCCTCTGACTTGGCTGACACTCCTGGCCTGGCCAGACATGAAAGTCACAGGAGTGACAGCACTCCCAAATTGTACCCCCAAATCCTTGCAGATGTACACAGGTCCCTGGGTGACACACAGACCCCACAGTGGGGGGCGCCCTACGGGCAGACGCGTGTCCTGTCCTCCGTGGTGACGGACGCGCATGGCCGCTGAGCAGTCCTGGGTGGCGACACCCTGTGGTGGTGGGGTGTCTCCTGGGACCCACGTCTTGGCGCTGTCCCTACAGGCTTCTCCGTCAGGCAGCACCCCCACCTCCCGCGCTGGGGCATGTGCACGGGGCACGTGCTCCCACCCGGGTCCTCGAGTGTGGGGAAGTGGCCATGGGCTCCCTGCTCCGCTGCCGGGGAGCGTCCTGGGCTTCGAGGCGCCCAGCGGGGTCAGGAGCCGGAGGCCACAGGCTCACCTCCTCGCACCGGGGGACGTGCGGCCATGGCCGCGCACAGCTCTGTCCCCGACTGCCTGCTGTCGCTGGCCCGTCCTTCCCAGGGCTTTGAGGAGGCCGCACTCCCCCGGGGCCCTGGCAGCCCCGCGCCCGCCCAGCCTCAGTCCACAAGCCCCTCTTCCGCTGCTTCCTCGTTTTCGTAACCGGTCGGCTGCGCTTCATGGAAGGCGCACCAGGGTCCGGAGTCTCAGGGGCTGCTCGGCTTCCCGAGTTTCCTCCCTGCGTCCTGGGTGGACCAGGGCTCGGGGTGAGGCGGGGGCAGGAGGCTCCGGCCCTTCTCCCAAGTGGGAAGCCACCCCTGCCGCACGGCTCATCTGACACCCGCCACGAGGCTCCCTGAGGTTTCTCGGAATCGGAGGAGCTGGCGGGGCCGCTGTGGCTTCTCTCCCTTGAGAACTGGGCTCAGACAGGAAACTCCACCCTTGTGGGTGTCGCCCGGTCTAGGCATCACCACGACTCCTTTCCCCTGAAAAGCAGCACCAAGTGGGTCTCCCTTTCCTGAGTGTTTTCAGGTCTGAGCAGACGGTCCCCGCTGTCTGTGGGACCCCCGAACCGTCTCCTGGGGCTGGGTGGGCAGGCTGTTGGTTGGGACAGCTGCCCTGTGCGGGGACCGACCCACAGGTCTGGGGCCCGAGGGCTACACGTTGCTTGGCTCCCTGGCTGCGGGGTCGGGGGCGGCCCCCTGCGCACACACCCATGCGTGCTGGCTCCTTCACCCTGGGGGGCCTGGCCCGGCCTGGCCCCCTGTCTCTTGAGTTCTGTGGTGATGGCTCTGCTGACCCTCGGGTCAGTTCTGGGGTTCAGTATTTTCTCCAAGTGCCCCCTGGGGCAGAAGGAGCCCCTCCCCCCCATCCACCCCACCCGTCTTGAGGTCAGGCCTGGGGGTGATGGGCACTGTCCCCCAGCCCCTCGCCCTCAGTGGCCTCCCGGATACGCCCAGGCTCCGGCCGGGGCGGGGTGGGGGAGGCACCGTCCGTCCTCCAAAGACTGTTCTGTTTTCTTGCCGAGGGACCCTGTGTCCTCAGGACTCTGGTGCCAGCAGACTGGGGGGAAGTTTGACACCAGCCCAGGAGGCCACTTGGGCCACAGCGTCCAGCAGACACAACGCTCGGCTGCTGGGCCCGGGGTCGCTGTCCCAAGCTTCCTTCCCTGACAGCAAGACTTGGGAAAGTCGAGGGGGCTTCCTTGCCAAGCTGAGCACAGTTCATTTTGGGGATGTTCCTTCAGGCGGGGAGGGGGCACGGCCCAGGGCTGCCCTGCCAGCCTAGCGTGCAGCTGCCCCAGGCCCCATGTGGCGAAGTCCAGAACTCTGGGGGCGCTGCGTGGCGCCCCTGGAAAGCTCTGCGTGGCGCCGACAGGGCCCTATACTCAGCCAGCGAGCCTGCCTGCCGGGCCGCCTCTTCCAGACCGGCGGTGGCCTGAGGGTAGGGGCAGGGGTCCCTCCTGCTGTCTTGCACCAGTGCCCGGTGGGCGTGTGTGCAGCACTGCTGTGGGGCCGGGCCTGCCCTGGGTGATGAGTCGGGCAGGGTGTACACGTCCCTGGACACGCCTCGTGCTCAGCTGCGTCTGAGACTGGGCCCTGGGGGACCCCTCGCAACCTGCCAACGGGAACTTCTGTGTTGCTCACAGGCCTCCGAGCCCCCGGCCTCCGTAAGAAAAGCAGACGACGCCCCCTCCCAGCACCCCACACCCTCCGAGAAGGACAAGCAGTCCGGCTGGCTGCGGACTCTGGCCGGCTCCTCCAGCAAGGTGCCGTGTGGCCCGGGCGTGCGGGGTGGGCGCGCGGGGCGGCCTGGGGCCCAGCCTCTGACGGCGCCTCTCTCCCGACAGAGCCTGGGCTGCATCCACCCTCGCCAGCGCCTCTCTGCCTTCCGACCCTGGTCCCCTGCGGTTTCTGCGAGTGACAAAGAGCTCTCCCCACACCTCCCAGCCCTGATTCGAGACAGGTGAGTACCCGCCAGCTCTGATGGGCATGTCTGCGTCCCAGCTCAGCCTGACCCTGCTGTGAGGCCCCGAAACAGTCGGGGAAGCAGGTTCCCGCTTTAATCATCACTGAACTCGACGGGCACATGGTCTGGAGGCTGTGTGTCAGATCCCCAGCCCCCCGGTTGAGGCAGCTGCAGAAATGCTGGTTCTTTGATGGCATGGGGGGGGGTGGGGGGGACGCTAGGATTTTCCGTGGCGTCTGGAGTTGGCCGCGCGCTCTGCGTTGGGTGTGGCCTGTCCCACGTATGGTGGCTGGTCGCCGTGTTGCAGCTCCCCCAGGGCCCCGGGCTGTAGTGTCCGCTCCCTCGCACGGTCCATGGAAGCCGGGGCCGCGATGGGGGGTGGTGTGCAGCGGGGGTGCGGAGACGTGCAGGGGCACAGGGGCGGGGTGAGGGGCCGCGGGGGGCAGATGCCGAGGCCCCGATGCCCGCCACACCCCTGCAGCTTTTACTCCTACAAGAGTTTTGAGACGGGCGTGGCCCCCAACGTGGCCCTAGCACCGCCAGCCCAGCACAAGGTGGCGAGCAGCCCGCCCTGCGCCACGGTCGTCTCCCGGGCCCCCGAGCCCGTCACCAGCTGCGTCCAGCCTCGGAAGCGGAAGCTGACAGTGGACACCCCTGGAGCCCCGGAGACGCCGGCACCCGGGCCTGCCCCCGAGGAGGAGAAGGACTCGGAGGCCGAGGTGGAGGTGGAGGGAAGAGAGGAGTGTGAGTGCGGCCGCAAACCTGCCCCGGGGCGGCGGGGGCGCCCGCCCGTTCTTCCGGGAGCGGCCCCTGCTGACCCGCACCCCCGCCGCCTGCCTTGCAGTCACCTCCTCGCTGTCCTCGCTGTCCTCCCCGTCCTTTACCTCATCCGGCTCCGCCAAGGACCTGAGCTCCCCGGGCCTGCTCGCCCTGCCTGCGGCGCCCGGCGCCCCCGATGCCGCGGCCCCCGCCGACGCCCTGAGCAGCGGGCTGGAGGCCGAGCTGGAGCATCTGCGGCAGGCCCTGGAGGGCGGCCTGGACACCAAGGAAGCCAAAGAGAAGTTCCTGCACGAGGTGGTGAAGATGCGCGTGAAGCAGGAGGAGAAGCTGAGCGCCGCGCTGCAGGCCAAGCGCAGCCTCCACCAGGTGGGGCGGGCGGGGGCCGGCGGGGGCACGAGTGTGCGGGGAAGGAGCGGGCGCTGCCCCGCTGGCCCCTCGCGCGCCGGTTCCGGGCCGCTCCACCCGGGACTGCTTCCTTTCCCGGCGGGGGCTGGAGGCCCTGCGGTTGTGCCGTCGGCCCCCTGGTCGCCTTGTGCGCCACCTTGTGGGGGGCGGGGCTGTCACCCCAGGGCTCAGCTGCATTCACACCTCAGCCGGCGTCTGACACGTGGCCCCAGCACAGCACAGCCCTGCCAGCCCCGAGAGCCCCATTTCCACCACTCTCTCAGAAACCCGCACCAGTTCCCTGGTTCTGGTTGGAGGTGTGGCTCCCCACATGCATCTTCATGAGCGTGTTGGGGGCCGGGGCTGAGACCCCGAAAAGGGCCGCCGCCTCTCCTTCTGGCTGCGTAGGGTCCCCGGGGCCCCCAGATGGCACCGTGCCTGGGTGAGCCCCCTCCCCCGGCCGCAGGGACTCCCCCCGGGCTGTGCACGGTGGGCACAGGAGGGCCGGGGCCGGAGAGGCCTGGCGTGAGGGCGCCCCTGAGCCGGCGCCCTCGCCCCAGGAGCTGGAGTTCCTGCGCGTGGCCAAGAAGGAGAAGCTGCGGGAGGCCACGGAGGCCAAGCGCAGCCTTCGGAAGGAGATCGAGCGGCTCCGGGCTGAGAATGAGAAGAAGATGAAGGAGGCCAACGAGGCGCGGCTCCGCCTGAAGCGGGAACTGGAGCAGGCGAGGCAGGCGCGCGTGTGCGACAAGGGCTGTGAGGCCGGCCGCCTGCGGGCCAAGTACTCGGCCCAGGTACGTGGGCTGTCCGGGTGGGGAGGGCGCGTGTGCCGTCCGTCGGCATCTCAGGGTCCCTCCCCTCCTCGCGGGGCCGCCCCGGGCGTGGGGAGCCTGCAGGCCGACCTGGCCCTGCTGGGCTTTGGGGTCCTCCTTCCACGGGGATGTCCTGGCCTCAGGCTCTCCTCACCTCCTGTCCTGGGGGGAGGGCCGCACCCATACCCGCACCCTCACCCTCACGCACCGTTAAAAGTCTCAGCCTGTCCCAGTTGGCCACCCTGCCTGGCCTGGGGTCGGGAGACAGGGTCCCGTCTCACGGCCATCTCCGGGGCCCGGGCCGGGGCCCAGGAGGCTGAGAGGTGCCCCGAGGCCTCCGCGCTCGGGGCTCGGGTAGTTCCCCAACTCGGGGTCTCCGCGGGCACGGTTGGTGCCGCCCGGGAAGCTCCCCCAGGCCCTGCCAGCCTCACCAGCCCGGGTCCAGTGGGCGGCGGCCAGGTGGGGAGCGGGCCCGGCTCACGCGGGGCGTCCCCTTCCAGATCGAGGACCTGCAGGTGAAGCTGCGGCACGCGGAGGCCGACCGCGAGCAGCTGCGGGCTGACCTCCTGCGGGAGCGGGAGGCCCGGGAGCACCTGGAGAAGGTGGTGAAGGGGCTGCAGGAGCAGCTGTGGCCACGGCCCCGCTCTGAGGCCACGGGCGGCGAGAGCACGGCCGAGCTGGAGCCCTAGCCGGACCCACTGTCTGCTGCGCGGGGCGGACGCCGCAGGGTGGGCGGGCGGGCGGGCAGGTGGGCGGCGGGGCTGGGGGCTCCGTGCCGGCGGGGCCGCTCCCCACCCCCCCCCCCGGCCCCCCCAGCCCCGGTCCATATAGCACAACGTCTTACTGTGCCTAGAACCAAGCAAGTGTTTGGAACCACATACTTTTGGAATCCACTGCAAAATTTTCTACTGGCCAAGGTCAAGCAAGCAAGCCGGTCCCCAACTGCAGCCAGAGTCGAGGCCAGCTCGGTAGCTGCAGCTGGCCCTCCGCTTGCCGGATCGTTCTAACATTTACACTTTTGTGATAAGCTATTTAAAACCCATAAGGAGACTTGATATTCAAAGAAATCAACATGTTTTTTAATGACTAACTTTTAAAAGCCCCACCCACACGTGACGCCACCTGAGGACCCGCAAGGGAGCCAGGGTGGCAGCCGCCCTGCCCCTCGAAGCCATCACAGCTCATCCCGCGCCTGCGGCCGCGTGACAACACAAAGGGTTTTTCTCCAGAGTCTATTTTTTCAGCCACAAGGAACCCCGTCTCCTGTGCTGCCACCGGGAAGGGCACGGAGAGCACCGCACAGGCACGATGAGCTGGAACACTGCCGCCTTACCCGCCCGCCGCTCCGGCCCGCCTTCCACAGGTGTGTCCGCAGGTGTGCTTGGAGGCGACGGGAGATGGGTCCGCGCTGGCTGGGCACACGCGCCCTCGACCAGGCAACCCTCTCAATTCGGCAAACGTTGCTCCTTCTGTTCGGGGACTGAGGCTGCAGCATTGGAACAAAACACAGCATTATTTCACTTCTTGTTTGTTCGTTCATTTAAACGTATATTTAGAACTGCACTTTGTCAAAAATCTTCCCTTCTCTTTTTATTCCCCGGTTAACTGAGGTTTTTACTTTCAAATACTGCAAACCGATTTATAGAGCATTCACATCCTAAGTGCTCAAGTGTTTAGAAACCCCTCTGGTGCTTGGTTGAACAAGGGAATCACACGAAAACGAAAATGCAAAAACTGAACTTCGGGGGGTAGTTCTGTGCCTTCCAGCATCTTGTACAGCAAACCCTGACTTGTCTTTTTACCCCCAAAATATGTCTTCAGTAGCTATCGAATCTGCCACTATCACAGTGAGTTACTTGCATTTATTCCAAATAATCTCGTTTACTCTCAACTGTATACGAATTGTATAAGGTTTCTTACGCCCAAGCTTGAAAAATGATTTCCCAGTAGACGAGGTGGCTGCCCGTCCTAAAATCATGGTATTTATTTACATGGAGAGATCTTGCCAGAACCCTCTGCCCGACTCCGTTCCAGCACCCCGGCAGCTGCGAGAGTGGCCGGGGGTGGTGCCGCAGCCGCTGAGTGGAGCGGAGACCGGGTGACGGCATCGTCGGTGGGGTTTTGCCCTTGGTTTACTGGGTGGGGGCCGCGTGCTGCCGGCCTCCCTTCTAAAGTGCAATGCAAAAGGGACATCGTGTATATGCAGCGTTTGTTTGGTTGTTGTTGTTTGTTTTTTGTTTCTTTTTTAATTTTTTTGCTTCTGTTTTTCTTTGCAGTTATTAAATCTGTATGCATGGAATTTAAAGCCTCTGCCATGCGTATATCCACCGATGGGCATTATTACCGTGTCGTGTAGAGGGTCGGTTGTGTCACGCAACACTCAGAATGCTGTGTTTAGCTTTGTTTTTCCAGAGTTGTGTTTTTGCGGTCATTTCTTCAAGGGAAAGTAAATGATTTAGTTGGAGCAAAGCGTTAAGCGTGTGTCAGTGTGCTTCTGTGCGGCTGTGCTCTGTTGCCAAGTCTGAAAATCCGTAGTGAGATCGCAGGGCCCCCGGGACCCGCCCGAGGCCACCTGCTTTGCTCCGTTTACTTTCTGAGTTTTTAGGCTCCAGAGGGAGATACATTTTTCCAAGTTGCGAGTGGGGGCCGCTGCGCCTCCTTGCCCGCGCTCTGTCCCCTCCGGTCACCCGCACGTCTCGGCCATCGGGTCTACGCCGCCAGTGTCCGGCTTGGTCCCCAGATGCCGGGAAGAGCTGGAGGTGGGGCGGTGGACTCAGGCCCGCCCTGAGGTCCCTTGGCCTGCCAGCGCCGTTGGCGGCCCCTGGGCGAGGCCGGCCATGGGGCTGTCCACGCTTGTCCTCGGGGGGCAGGGTCCCCGGGCTCCTGCCGTGCGGCTGCAGTTGGAGTTTCTTTTCTGAAGAGGCACTCTCCCGTAGGCTGTTGACTCTCCCCGTGTGTAATACCCATTGTCGAAGTGATCGTGTATTCAGTTTAATCACTCATTATTTCTATGCTGAAAGAAGACTTCTAACGAAGGGAAAAAACAACAGCAATAACATTCATATCTATGGAGCAGCTAACTCACTCACACGATATCTTGCTTTTCGTACAGAACTCGCCGATGTACAAAGCGACCATGTAAATACTTTTTCCTCTGATACTCGTGTATCATACGTATACGTGGTGGGTCCTGTGCCGGGACTCTCTTCTTACCTGGTAGCTGTCTTGTTTTCTGGGTTATTTCTACCTGAGGCAGAACATGCCCACCGGCTCGAGCCGGTTTTCTGGGCGACACCGCCCACCGCGCCCACCAGGCTCGGGGAGGCCGTCTTGTTCTTGCTTTAAGTCAGGAGTCACAAATGACACTTTTTCTTTCAATTAAGGAAAAAAACCACAGCTCCACCTCGTACCCGCCAGGAGCGTCTGCATCACCGTCCCCTTCTCTCCTTCGCTGCTGCTAATGACAGTATGACGACTTACTCACTATTCGAGAACTATTTTTATGTAATTAATGTATGCTTTCTTGTTTATAAATGCCTGATTTAAAAAGAAAAAACAGCTTGGCATATTTCTCTATTACTCTGTGTACCCGTTAGTCCTTTGGCGCCCCTCCCCAAACAGATGACACCGTAAGATAAAGGACTCGCTCGCCTGGCCAGCCCAGAACCCCTCCTCTCCAGCACTCCTTGCCCCTCCTCCAGCCACCATCTAGGCCTGAGCCCAGGAAGGGGCGCCTGTCTTCCGGTCGATCAGGCCCTGGGGCCTTTCAGTCTCCACTGAGCCCAAGTGGACACGGGGCACAAGCGGGCAGGTCCCAGCTGGGGCGCCCTCCATCCCTCTCCCTCCAGGTCTCGCCAAGCTGCGGCTCCTCCTTGTACTGTGGGCGTCGGCTGGGGGCCCTTCCTGGCCTGTCCCCCATGGGGCCTGGAGGCCTGCCCCAATGTGCTGCCCTGAAGGATGAGCAGAGGGCCACCACCCGCCTGCCCGACTACCTAGGGGCTTCCCCAGGACCGCCCCGCCCCTGGTTCTGGGCCCCAGAGTGCCACCTCACTAAGGCTTCCTTTGGCCACCCAGGTCCGGCCTCCCAGCCCAGGCCGTGGGGCCTCCCAGGTCACCTGGAGAAAACGCACCGCAGCCTGGGAGGGCTCCCCGGTCCCTACTCCTCCCCCCAGCCTTGGGAAGCCCCCCAGACCTGGGCCCAGAAGTGCTCCCCTGGAGCCCCCGGGGAGGGGGGACACGAAGGGCTGTAGTGTGGAAGCAGAAGCCTACTCCACCCAGGCCAGGCTGGGGCGGGGGACAGCAGGGCCCAGGAGAAAGCTGCCCTGAGGTCCAGGGTCATGGGGTGCCACCTAGGGTCGGGGACAGGTCAGGGGAAGGGAGGCAGGCTGGGCCCTAAGCTGTAGGCCCGCCCCCTCCCGCCCGTGCATTGGACCCGAGAGCTGTGCCTGGGGCCCTGGGCCCAGTGGCGTGGGTGACAGACCTACCTGAATGGAGCACAGCCATGGCCCCGATACCTTCTGCCCCCCTCGGTGCAGGTGTCACCTGGGCCTGACTCCTGTTCCTCTCAGGAGTGGCCTTCCACTGAGCTGTAGGGCCATGAGTCAGAATCTGAGGGCCCCCTTCCCCGGGCAGGGCTGGACCCTGGGGCACTGCCCTGCAAGAGATGAGGCAGGCACGGCCCCCAGGGAGCGCTCCTGGCCCACGCACCCAGAGCGGGGAGGAGAGAGAGAGAAAGGCCGGTGGCCAGACACTGTGTCCATGTTACTGGGCCGTGCGGTCCCTCGTCCACCTGACCGCTGCCTCTGCCTGGACGTCCAGGGTGCCGCGCAGCGCCATCTTCTGGGGTCTCCCGAATGCTCAGCCGTCCACTGCGGCCCGTCGGGGGTCCTGCAGGCATGGACGCCAATTGAGGGCAGCTGAGGCCCTGCCACTCCCAATGCTGGACACGGACGTCGTCCTCACGACCTCCACGGAGCGCAGCAGCGTTGGGTGGTGTGACTGGGGGTGATGTCCGGTGTCCAGATTTGCCGCCCCTGCAGGGCATTGTCACCACTGAGGGGGTGCCATGTGCTCCACAGTCTGCACTTGTCCCCAGAGCTGACGTGAGGCCTCGTTCTGGGCTCCGCCTGGCGACGGCCTCTCCTCACCCTCCCCCAGAGCATCTCTGGCCGCCAGCGCCCAGCCCCTCGGCCCCTGGCTCCACCCGGCTCCCCGCTCGGGCGGTCCACGTAACACCCATGGTCCTGACGGCCAGGGAAATGGGTGGGGGGAGGTGTTCCCGAGGGAGACTGGGGCTGGGCGAGTGCAGTGGGTGTGCAGTCTGGGGGTGTCCTCACGGCCAGCGTGGTGCTCAGCCCGTCGGGGGCCTGGAGCTGGGCCGGTGGCAGCTCCCGGGGGCTCCGGGCTCAGCTGTCTTCCTGCGCTGCCCTGGGCTTGCCTCTGGGTTCACCTCTGGGTGGAACCTGATGGCATTAAAGGGCTCTGGGCAGCCCCGGCCCAGAGAAGACAGGATGGGAGCCGTCTGAGCTCAGAACCCCCTTCCCAAGCCCATGCTGAAGGGGTCAGGGCACCCCGAGGGCTCAGAGAGAGGAGATCAGACCCTCGGGGAGGGAGGGACCCCTCCTCGGGAATTCCTGGCAGCCCCATGCCCCACCCCCCCACCTCTGGGTCCCCAGGCTCGGGACTGTCACACCAGCAAGGGCCTCTGTAGGGACCCACGGGGCCATCCCCCAGCCTGGC